GATGTGTAGTTGAGCTATGCCGCGTCATTACCGAAGTGGACGTTATCGTCAAAGTCAACCGGTGGTGTCGGCTGTGACTGTTACGATGGATGGTGATGATGACGGCGATGAGACGTTTCCGACGCTGCGCAGCAAGGTTGTTGTGCCTGCAGCCGCTCATCATCTTCTTCCATTACCGTCGTCACCCTTCCTCCCGCCCTCGGAATCCCAGCTTCTGCGGCAAGGTCAGCAACAAAGTCGGCAACGTCAGCGTGTGACAGATGAGTTGGCTTTTGCGCAACACCACCTGGCGCTCTATACAGGTTTCTTCAGACAAATCCTTCTTCATAATGATGGGAGTGCCAACTATGACTGCGCTGCTCAGTAAGCCAATTTTGCACTCTGCAACAATTTTAGGATGTTGTTTATCGTTGTGGTTGATTTTTAGCTTAAAATTTTCATTATTATTAGTCTAAAATTAACTTGAGCATTCACATATCGGAAAGTCACCTTGCATATTTAAGTAGAATTTTTCTTTTCGTGTGATGCTTTTCTCGTGAATGACTCATGCGAAAAGGCACGGGTACTGTAAAGCGGGGTGTGGATCTACTCTTCCAAATTTTTTTTTGCACAAATAACGCATTGAACCGTTTTAAGGCCTTCGATTCAACCGCTAACATATTTCTCAGAAGCTGCCAATGTTTCTCTCCATTGTACCCCATAGTTTAATAGGCTATGCCCTGATTGTAACGTTTTTTTAGTGCAGTCTGATTTACTGCATTGAGAGCGGTAAATCACAATGCATAACAACTTTTCTCACTGACGTTCCGCCTTGCTAGGTGTTTGTCTTTGTGATTCACTTAGCGCAGCTATTTTCCTGTCTTTAATTCTAGGTACTATCTTTAAATACACTTTATCCTCCTAATTTTAGGCCTCAAAAGACGATTGAGATGACAGTTATTCGTAGAGGCATGAGTGGTTAGGTTGACGCTCTCATGAGGGAACCAATAAGACTCGGAGCGAAGCGATCAATAACGTGTAGCCTATGTAGGCAATGTCAGTTTATCTTTTGTAAATTTTTGATAAGCCTTGGTCGGTTTTAATCCAAAACACCTGGTTTGAATTTGGCTGTTAACTAACGCTTCTGACTCATCAATCTCCGAACATTTTATTGACAACTGCTACTGCATCATTAACTAGCCATCTCTTTAATTATCAATGTATGATGCGCGAGATCATGAACTGCCTAATTTTACGCATTGTTGATTGATGGGCCAATTTTACGTCCGGGTTAAGAGGGTGTAAAGTGACTTGACGTACCATATTTGCCAATAAGTGGCATATTTCTCGTGACCAGGATCGGCCAGAAACGCTCAGCTGCGAGCCTAACAGGTCTCGATGGAAGAGGCGGGGACTCCCATTCCAAGTGTTTCCGACAGTCGTCCAAAGCATCGCCGTCCAATGAGAGGCTACATGTTGTCCGTATGCATCACCTCTTGAACATATCATTTTAGTTATTAAATTTAAGTAGACGTTATATATTGTTTAAAATGATCACGAAACAATGTGAAGGTAATTCGCCGCCGGAGGAAGGCGAAGCTGTTGATGATGAAGACGAGGAAGACAATGACGATGGAGACGGAAACGAAGAGGAGGAGGAAGAAAGGGCGCAGTATTTCGAAGCAAGTAATGGAATGCCTCGGCAACTAGCACTGCTTCCCACACCAAGTCGGTGAGTTGCATAACTACCTCAATCCCACTTCATTCTTATCGTAAGAAGCGCAATTTTTGAATCAGCTCAGTTAGACTGACAAAACCCGACCTTGGTCTGCCTTTTTAATCGCCACAATGTTATGGTATTCCTACTAGTTTAATAAATTCATTAAAACGTATGCTCTGAGCAAACTTTCGAAATTGGTTGTATACAGAGAAGTTTTGCGTATTCATCCAATGCTGATAGAAGCAATATTAACGAATTGGTCAATGGATTTCTAGTGCTCTAACTGTTGATTAGTTTTTTGAAGGCGTCATAAGGTTCTTGGCTTTCACATCCACTTTGTCAATGACTGCAGAGTATAATGCGCTCTCAGCTAACATGTTTCTTG